TTTCAAATACCCGTTTAACCCGCCCCATTACCCATTTAACAAACTATCTACAAACCTAAAGAAAAAGCCCCATTTACTTTATCTCTTCTTCTTCCTCGTAAGGTGGTTGTCGTTGTTGCCGTCCCCCACCCCCTCACCCCCTCCTTCATCTTCTTCTTTTATCTTTACATATACTCTTTCAATCATCGATTTAAACAAAAGAGATCGAGAATTCAAAGCAACTATTTCTGCAAAGAAAAAAACGTCACGCTAAAATCTTGAAGAAGAGACTCAAAATCAGTTTGCGTTGGATAAAGTTTCTGCAAATTAAATTAATTAACATCATCATAAAAGTCACGCCTTTTAGCCTGAGTGGTATACGTCTGATGCAATTCCAGGAAGGATAACTTCCAGCAGATACTGAATTTATATAGAATTCAGATGCTATTTGTAGTTGATTCGCCAATTCTTTGAAGAAGTGAGTTCCATTTGTAGTTTTCATTCAAATCTGAACATTGTTCAACCCCACAATCCCAAAAACATTGATACAGATTCAGAAGTCAACAATTCTCAAAGATGAACATCAAATTTCAACTCGAAAAATTCCAATCAAATTACATAATAAACCTCGAAATTATTTTCGATTTCTGCAAAGAAAAAAATGAAACCCATGAAAGGAAAATGAGATTCTGAGCTAATACAAGTTATGTTTCTTTCCCAAATGAAAGCAAAGTACTGGCAACGAAGTTTCTGGAATCTTCTTCTTCTTAACTAAAATAAAAATAATAAATTCAAATCTTCAACCCCACATTCCCAAAAACTTGATTCAGATTTCAAAACATGTTCGAGATTTCATGGGGTTCTCAAACATGAACATCAAATTCTAATGTGGGTAATGGGTGTATTGGGTGAGTTAAATGGGTAATGGGCAGGTTAAACGGGTATTTGAAATTTGGGTTAAATATTTGGTCAATCCGGGTTGAGGCGTAGGATTGCGCCACATGTACAAAATTAATTTTCCGTTAGTGGGAGGGGCAAATGTGCACTAGTAATTGGACAACGAGAGCACTAATGGACGAAAAGAATGACTGAGGGTATTGACATACCATTTTCAAAAGTTCGGGGGTATATTTATCCATTTTCCCTTTATATAATGGTATACTACAGAGGTTTTAGTAATTGTTATTACATTTTCAACTTCAAACTTAAGGTTTGGACGAATATGAATCTCACGTTTAGGAGAAGAACTAAAATATTTGTTTCTATCCGAGGAAAGAATATACCCTGTAAACCAAATAGAGAATTTAAATTATATAGAGAATGTAAATTACATAGAGAATGTAAATTAAAGCACAATAAGTAGGTCTTAAAAACGATAGGAACTTCAGACTCATGATTTAATGACTCAACATCCCAGATGGATGGATTCTAAATAGAACAACTCCAGTTGGAACAGTGGTCAATAAACCATCGCATTGATAGAATATTAGGTCCGTCCTCCATGGGTGGTCACATTATCGCCAAATATAAATGAGGAGACCGTATATTGTTTGCTGGAATGTCAAACATATTAACGAATAAGACTTATCTTTTAATGAAATAAGGTATGCATATTTACATAAAACTAGTCATTCAATTACATATATAATTTATAATTATTTAATGTAAAAAAAATTAGTGTATCTTGTCATATAATGAGAAAGAATCTTTCGAATTAATAAAATGATAGTCATTTGTTGCTATACAATACATTGGTTCCTTTTCTTAAAAATCTTATTGATGAGTAATAACTTTTAAATAGTTTCATTCAAAGTTTTAAAATACTAAATTAAGTTTCAGTATCATTTTACTAAATACATAAAATTTACTCCATTCCAAATGTTATGATTTTATAAGTAAGTAATGAACTTTTCTAAATATTAATTCTAATACATATATACTAGTATTTTTTTAGGGATTATAAGAGTATTTTTGCTGAAAAATTATAATTTATTTTTCTAGAATATAAGAAGATTTTTATTGAAAAAATTATCATTAATTATAATTTGAGATACTGAAATTAAAATATGATAATATGAAAAAAAGATTTAATGCATTCTTATATTTCACCAGGAAATGATATTTGATTTATATATATATATATATATTTCAATTATCATAATTTTTTTTTTTTTTATGAAAGAGAGAGAATTTTGTAGCCGCCGGCAAACTAAAAGTGTGAATCTCCGGTGGCAATGACCACCAAATCGCCCGGTCAACCTCCCACTGGGGTTGATCTAGATCTGAAGGAAAGAGAACCAGCTTCTAGGCTTGATTTTTAGCTGTTGTAAGACCATCAAGGGAAGCTAATGCGACGGCTTTGAAACCTATTGTGTATTTGCATGGTGAACCAAGAATAGTATGGGAGGAGGTAAGGCTGGGCACCGGACCGGAATGGGATCACCGGACCGGAACGAACCGGCACCGGACCGGAACGGGACGGTTTGACCGGGTTGTTGACCGGTATCGGGATGAATCGGACCGGAACTATCGGGATGGAGGCTCAGTTCCGTCCCGTCCCACTATATACCGGGATAGAACCGGGACGGACCGGAATGGACCGGAACGGAACGGGATGGGATAAACGGGACGGCACATATAACTATTTCAAAAAATAATTATTTTTTTTGAGTTATTTTGAATTACGTAAATACGAATGTTTTTTTTATTTTTCTAAGTTATATTCGTTTATAGTAATTAAGTTTTAAAATTTATAATAATTTTACTTAAGTTTATTTTAAAGATATTTTTTTAATTTTTACGTATATAAGTTTGTAAGTTAAGTTTAATAAAAAAAAAAAATTAGTTTTTGAGCTTATGTAGTTATGTTATAAGTTTTAAAGATTTGAATCTTTTGAAGTTTATAAGTTATTAAGTTATACTTATAACTTGTAAGTTAAATAGCTTAAGTTTGTAATTTTTAAAAAATTAAATAAACAAAAAAGAAATGCTAATAAAAGTAAATAATGAAAAAAATGTTATTTTTTATTTTAATTAAAAATGATTTACCGGGACCGGAACGGACCGGAATGAACCGGGATGAACCGGGATGAACCGGTACTGATATACCGGTACCAAATCATGGTACCGTTCCGTTCCGTGTACCGGCTCAACGTATCCCATCCCGTCCCGAATACTACCGGACCGGAACGAACTGGAATGGTACCGGTACAACCCGTTCCGGTGCCCAGCCTTAGGAGGAGGAAGAGGTTGAACGGATGATCGTGAAAGAGAACTTAGAGTATGCAGTGATAGGAAAATTTTCCTATGGTTGAGATTCAAGATTTGAGAAAATTAATTTCGAAGCAATGCGAGTTGAAAGGTGCATGCAACATAGGATTGTTAAGCAATAGGCATATTCTGATAAGGGCATCATGCTTGGAGGACTACGTGAATCTATTATCAAAGCCGGCCTTTTACATATTGCATCGTGGGTGGACATATCCAATGTGAACTTGAAGTGGGAGCCAATGTTCGATCCGGAGGAGGAAACATCAACAACCATGGCATGGATTTCTTTTCCATCCCTGCCTCCAAATTTCTTTGTGAAGGAGGCAGTTTTTTCATTAGCAGTTGCGGTTGGAAAGCCTTTACAGGTTGATCTAGCAACAAGGAATCAGACTCGACCTAATTGTGCACGGGTGAAAGTGGAGGTGGATTTATTACGTGAATTTCCAAAAAGAATAAACGTAGGGATGCAAAAGCAATCAGGGGAGATTACAGAGAAATGGATTGCAATAAGATATGATCATGTTCCAAAATAATGCAAGAACTGTAAGATTCAGGGTCATGACGAGGAGCAATGTTATGTGGTACATTGGGATTTATATCCCAAGGAAAAAGTAGGGAAGGAAGAAAAGATGGAATCGGGGGAGGAAAAAAGGGAGATTCAGGGGAAGGGGAGAGTACAGAGAGAGGGTAATATTTTAGGGAAAAAAAGTGAGGAATTTAAGATTCATACTAATAGAAGAGGAGCAGGAGGGGGTCGACAAGGGGGTGGAAAACCAGAACAAATATGGCATAAGAAAAAGATTCAACACGAGAAAGAGGGAATTACGATTGGCAATAAGTTTGGGGTGTTGAAAGATCAAGATGAACGTGGGGAGACACAAGGTGGACAAAAGGAAAGGGGGGAGGAGGTAGAGACGAAAAAATGGGTTGAGGAAGTTTTCCAAAAAACAAGCAGAATAAATAAGGGGAATAATTTGAAAAATACAGTGGAGAATATAAACAGTGTAGATGAAGAAGAGACGGCAGGGAGTAAAGCTTCAAGAATAGTGGAAACATTGAGGTAAGCGGGAAACAAAAATGTAGTGAACAAGATGCCAGAAGTAGTAATATGGGGAATACATGTTTGAAGATGGTGGAATTTCATGAGGTGCAGGATAACGATGAGGTTTTGCATCAGAGGAGGGAGAATCGGATTCAGGAGGATGATTTTCCTGATTTACAAAAGCTGACATCGGAGGAAATTAAAAAAAAAAAGGATAAAGAGGAAGACGATGATTTTGATGAAAATATTAATAAGGTGGTAAGGGATGAGGATTTATCTCCAAGACAAATAAAATTATTGGAGAGTAGAGCTAAACGATCGAAGTCACGTCAGCATACAGTTCCACTTCAAGTCAAAACAAGGAGTAGTAAAAAGAGATCGTCGAAAGATAGTTTCCAATGATTGGAAAAGCTATATTTTGGAACATTAGATCGGTTAAATCTTAAAAGGCTTTTGAGAGATTAATGGGTCTAAATAGGCGTCATAAATATAATTTTATAGCTCTTATGGAACCTTTTCAAGATCCCAAAGAGTTAGATCATTACAAAAGAAAGTTAGGATTTAAAAATGCGTATTGCAATGTATTTGCAAAAATTTGGGTTTTTTGGGATGATGGTTGGAGGGGTGAAGTGGTGAGTGATAGTATACAACAAATAAGTTTGAAGTTGAGCAAGAACGATGTGGAGATGATTTGTACTGCAGTGTATATATGTGTGATGCATTAGAAAGATTGGAGTTGTGGGACGAGCTGGAGGCTTTATCTGCTAATATTAATATACCTTGGATGGTGGGAGGAGATTTCAATGTTATTTTGAATGAGGAGGAAAAACTTGGGGAATTAGATTTTACTCAGTTTGAGGCTTTGGATTTCAGTCAATGCATTAATAACAGTGCTCTAACAGAACTTAAGTTTGTGGGTAGCATGTTTACTTGGTGGAATGGTAAAATTGAAAGAGACATTATTTTTAAGAGACTTGACAAAGTCTTTGGAAATCAGGAGTTTAACAATATGTTACCTACTAGTGAAGTTCATTATTTAGTGAGACAAGGTTTGGATCACGCACCTTTACATGTCATATGCAATTCGGAGGAGGAAGTGACAAGCAGACCTTTTAAGTTTCTCAATTTCTGGACAAGGCATCCCTAATTTCAGCAGATTATTGAGCATAACTGGAGAATTGATTTTGTGGGCTGCCCGTTTATTGAATTTCAGGCAAAAATGAAAAAAGTGAAAGGGGCGCTGGCAAAATGGAGCAAGGTTACTTTTGGAAACATATTCCAGAAGGTTGCAACCTTGGAGGATGAAGTCAAGGTCATGGAGATACAATTGGAGATTAATACAAATGAAGAAAATAGGGCAGATTTTTGAAAAGGTCAGAAGCTAAGTTAAAAAAATTTCTCTACTTGGAAGAGGAATTTTGGAAATAGAAAGCTGGGATGAGATGGTTTCAGGATGGGGACAAGAATACTAGATTTTTCCATAATTATGTCAAAGGAAGAAGAAAAGAACTACACCTGGCGGAAATTCAAACGGAACAAGGTGATGTACTGAATAGCAGCAATGAGATTGGCGCAGCGGCAATCTCTTATTTTGAAGGGTAGTTCAGAAAAGGAGGAACAAGTGAAGATGAAAATTTGTTGAGGCTTATTCCCAAATTGATTACCCCTAGTCAGAATGAGGAAATGGTTCATATGCTAACTAAGGAGGAGGTCAAGATGGTAGTCTTCGCTTTGAACGGAGATAGTACAAGCGGCCCAGATGATTTCTCGGGATTATTCTTCCAATGTTGTTGGGAACTTATAGGTGAGGATATTACCAAAATGGTGAAGGCTTTTTTTTGTGGTAAACAGATCCCTCGTTTTATTTCTCACACGAATTTGGTGTTACTCCCAAAAAATGAGAGAGTTGTAAACTTCACAGATCTTAGACCAGTGAGTTTAAGTACGTTTGCAAATAAAATCATCTCTCGAGTGTTGCATGAAAGGATTTCAAAAAGGTTACCCAATATTATTTCAATGAACCAGTCAGGTTTTATTAAAGGGAGAAACATTACAGAAAATGTTCTATTAGCTCAGGAGATAATAAGGGATATAAATAGAAGGAAGAAATATCACAATGTGGTAGTAAAGTTGGACATGGCAAAAGCTTATGATAGGGTCTCTTGGGTCTTTTTAATTAAAGAGCTATGAAGCTTTGGATTTTCTGAAATCATTATTGATATGGTGTGGAGGCTAATTTCGAATAACTAGTATTCAATATTAGTTAATGGAAAGTCATATGGTTTTTTAAGTTGACAAGAGGGCTCAAACAAGGAGATACTTTATCTCCAACATTGTTCATAATAGTTGCAGAAGTTTTAGCCAAGAGGTTAAATAATCTGAATGAAGATGTAGATTTCAAGGGTTATGGAATGCCAAAATGGAGTCCTCCCATTAATCATTTGTCATATGCAGATGATACAATACTCTTTTGCTCAGGGGAGAGAAAGTCTATTCGTAAGATGATGGGAGTGTTGAGGAGATATGAAAATATTTCCGAACAGATGGTCAACTTAAATAAAAGTTTCTTTTATCTGCATGATGATACTCCGTTAATTGTTGGGATGGGATAAAGGAGAATTGCAGGCATAAAGCAGGGCACGTTCCCATTTATTTATCTAGGCTGCCCAGTTTTTTATGGAAGAAAAAGGGTTTCACACTTTGAAGAATTGATGAAAAAGGTGTAGAGTAGACTAATGATGTGGCAGAACAAGTGGCTGTCATATGGAGGAAAGTACATCTTGATAGCAAATGACCTTCAGTCAATGCCAATTTATTTGTTATCAGCGATGAACCATCCAAAGAGAGTCATTAAGAAGTTGCATAAACTGTTCGCTGGTTTTTTCTGGAGCAAAACAGGTGGGGAGCAAGGAAAATATTGAGTAGCATGGGAAGACATGTGTTTTCCTAGGGCTGAAGGAGGTGTGGGTTTTCGATCTATACATGATGTTACCAAAACATTTTTTTGTAAACTATGGTGGAACTTTCAAACTTCCACTTCATTATGGAGCTCTTTCATGTGGAGTAAATACTGCAAGAAGTTTCATCCTCTAATGGTTAAAAGCATAAGAGTTTCACATGCTTGGAAGAAGATGATTCAGGTAAGAGATGAGATAGAGCATGACATATGGTGGCAAATAAAGGCTGAAGATGTGAGTTTTTGGTTTGATAATTGGACAAAATTGGGAGCACTTTATTATATAGAGGAGAAGGGAGAGATTGATGATGAAATAGAAGTTCGGGAGCTGATAGAGCAGGGGAGTTGGAACATACAAAGGTTGAGAAGTATGTTATCAGAAGAGATGGTCCAATTCATTATGGAAAGTTTTGTCCCTATGATTATAGAAGGTAAAAAGGATAAAACATGGTGGATGGGAAGTTCGAGTGGAAATTTCACTGTAAAGTCAGTGTTTGAAGGGAATAGACATAAGAAAGAAGTTAATTGGTGGTGGAGTAAGATATGGTGTAACGAAATTCCTTTCAAGATTAGTTTCTTTGTATGGAGCTGTTGGAAGGGGAGAATAGCTACAGATGACAACCTGAAAAAGATGAAGATTAATGTGGCATCCAGATGTTATTGTTGTGAGGACTATGACCAGGAAACTATGAACCATCTTTTTCTAACAGCTTCCGTAGCTCAAAAACTATGGAAGCAATTTGCTACTTGTGCAGGAATTAGCATGGAGGGAAGCCTACAACAGATAATTACTAATTGGTGGGGAGCATCAAATAAGTAAAAAATGAGGTCAATATTACAAGCAATTCCTGCCATTATTATGTGGGAGCTTTGGAAGAGGAGAAATGCTAGAAGACATGGGAATTAGGTGTCCTATTATAAGCTGCATCAACAATGTCAAGATATTGTGTACAAGCTGATTAAACATCTTTACCCTTGGATTCAGATCCCAAGAAATTGGGAAGGAATGTTAGGGGTTATGAATGAGTACAAACCTAAGTTACACTATCATACTGTGTGTTGGGGACTGCCTCAAGAAGGGGGAGTGAAGTGCAACACGGATGGAGCAAGTAAAGGAAATCCGGGGGAAAGTGCATATAGATTTTGTGTTAGAAATCAGGCAAGAAATCTGATGTATGCAGAAGCATGTAAGATTGGCATAAGGACTAATATGGAGGCAGAAACAATGGCAATCCTAAAATCCCTCAGATACTGTAAAATTAAGAAAATCAACAAAGTGTTGATTGAGACAGATTCACTGGGGGTCATAAAAATGATAAGAAATGAATGGACAATTCCATCGAATCACGCAAAGGAGATGGAAGAGATTCAGGAAATTATAGAGAACATACAAGTAGATACTACACATGTTTTTAGAGAAGCTAATCAGCTAGCAGACAAGTTGGTCAATGAAGCATATACGCACACTGGTCTAAAGCAATGGGAGAATTTTCAGCAGTTATCAAGTGAATGCAAGAGTATTTTAAAGGCAGACAAACCAGGTATCCCTACTTTGAGAATAAAAACAAGAAAAATAAGAGTGCAGCAGAATAATCATGACAATGTACAAAGTTAAAACATTCAAAGAATATCTTGCCACAGAAGGGATTACAAAAGAGTGAGATTTAAATGTACTAGGATATCTGTGCTAAACTATTACAGTTTATAGAAAGTGTTACGAGCAAGAGATGAGAGCAACAAAGTCAGATTGGGAGTTGAGAACCTGGAGCGGTGAAGACGACCATGGACGAAGGACCTAACGTTTCAGCTGCTAAAAGAATAAAAGAGCAATGAAATTGAAGAAAGAGAAGAGAAGGGAAGAAAGTAGAGAAGTTTACCTGATCATAACGAAGCTATGCTGTAAAATTGATTCTGAAAATCAAGACAATCACTAAATAAGTGCTCAGCAGACAACAAGCAAAATATGATGTTTCAAAGAGTAGAGGAAGAGAGTTACCTTGATAAGTTGAGTTGTTACTAATGGAAGAGTTGAAGGCATCGTTGACCCAAAGCAAATGGAACAAGGAGCTGATGGAAGCTCAACATAATTCACATCTGAGACAAGAACACAAAAATGAAGGAAGACAATTTTGGAAAGCTAGTGGATAGGAATTTAGATATTTGGGGGCATTTTGGATTGGGCCATCTGGGTCGGGTACATTTATTTAGTTTGGGCCATTATGGCCAAGTTTTGTACTGTTTTATTGTCACTCAATTATTTGATTAAAAAAAAAAAAAAAGTTGTTCAAATAAGGAAGCATTGAATCAGGCATGTGTTGGCACAGGCCAATGCCACTTAGCTAGTGTTATAGGCAAGAAAACGTTGTGAACATTGTGAGAGTTTAATTAATAAATACTTTTTCAGTTCATTTTTACTTGTCATTGTCATTGTTTGACTTGGTACATTCATTAAGAAAATAATTATTGATATAGATATTTTACCACATTATCCCTATTAATTGATGTTTAGTAGTATTAGGTTTTGAAAAATGATTTGGACATTTAGTATTTAATGCTAAGGGTAAAATATGAAAAAAGTTATTTGTCTTTTCTTGATATGTCAAAAGTGACCAGTAATAATGAAAATTTATTTTAGGAATAAGTGACAAGTTAGAGTAAACGAAGAGAGTAATTTCCTTTTAATAGTTGTTGTTTAACTTTTTTCATTCTCTTGAATTGTTTGTAAGAAACTAGTTCTTAAACACGTGCATTGTACATGTATCCTATACTAAATAATATAAATATTTATTCATAGAATTCTTCCCCTTATTAAACCTCATCTACTCTTTATTAAGCTTAACTATGATGGATTGTATATCAATAAAAATTATGGAGGAGGAGGAGTGAGTGCAGGTGATCTCTTCGTGGCATATTCCATCCCAATGGGTAGAGGTACAAGTAATAGTGCAGAGACAGATGCATTGTTACTAGTCTTAAGTTGTGCATTGATAATGTCTTCAACATGATTATTTGTTAAATTGACTCTCTGATAGTATATAACTCTGTAAGGAGAATTCTATGAAGGATTGAAGTTACTATTCCCTCTGTCCCCATGTACGTGTCTATTTTTGACTTGACACACCTATTAAGAAAATAATAATTGATATAGTGAGTTTACCATTTTATTCCTATTAATTGATAGAATTCCAAAATTAATTTACATTAAAGAGGTTCTACCTTTTTCAAAAACATTAACTCTATAAATAAATTGAGGGTATCATAAATAAAATATATTGTTTTTTCTTGATTTGTCAAAAATGACAAGTAAAAAGGTACATAGGGAGTATTGAAGAAATGAGAAAACTAGTTACTATGACATCATTATTCGACATTGCTTCAGAGAACCTAACAAATATTGATAGATAGCAACTACT